TCTACCAGGAATAAGGATCCAGGGAGGGCAAGGGAAATGAGAAAAGCTTCAAAGATTTCCAAGAGTATGGATCAAAAAATAAGCAGGATTTTTAAGAGAGGACATTCATATTAAGTGGTGCATTTTAAAGGAAAAAGAAAAACCATTGCAGTCTCTGCTATTTGTCCATAAACAAACTTAGAAGCAATTGGAGGTACACACACACACACACACACACACACACACACACACACACACAAAGAAGCTTGCAGAAGGGTAAGGCCATCTAGCTGGGATCCAATTCACAAATTCAGTATGAATCTATAAAATGCTTCTAAAAAATCTGAGAGCAACCGTCATAAAAGGGGATATTCTTAGTGTACATATCTATTTCCATTCAAATCAATGCAAGTTTTTAATAGATGAAGGACAGCACATCATTCTAGTTCTAATCCAGGGTCCAACAGTCCAAAGACAATCACTTTCAGAGCTCATCCCTAAATGGTAGGTTCATATTTCACTATTCCCAAAATTAAAATGAAGTACAGCCTCCCTCTGAAGCTGGGACACAGTAATTGAATGTGAACATTTAAAAAGGTGTTAGAAGAATGTTTTCTTACCCAAACCATACTGCAAAACAGAAAAAAAAGTATCCATTTAGAAACCTCAAGTATAAGAGAAAAAAGAAACAAGATGGAAAGAATATATTTTTAAAAGCCACGACATGGCTATTGTTGCTTGAGGAAAAGAAGAAAAGCAAAGAGAAAAAGGAGGGAGCCCATCTGTAAAAGCACCTGGGAAATATTACTGGAAAGATCTTCTCATTGATAAAAAGAAAAGCTCAAGGAACATAAAAACTCGATTCGGCAAGTGGCACAAATATATTTTCTAAGAAATTGCTCTCTTCTTTTATTTCTCTGCAAATACTAAGTGGAACCTATTGTGGATAGATCATCTTTCTTATAAGAAATACATTCAGTATTTTATGAAGATCCTGATAATAATCATGGATTTGGAAGGAACCTTAGAGATAATCAAATCCAACATGCCTCTTTTAAAAGATAAAGAAATTTAAGCCCAGAGACACTTGTTTTCAGTCATTTAGCAAAGGAACTTTAATCCAAATCTCCCAATAACCAGGCCAGAGCCTTTTCTACTCTACTACATAACCTTGAAATTAGGAGAGTCGGGATAAGAATTGCACTCTTGCCTAAGCAGAACAAGAAGAGGGGAAATGCCAGATGAAAAGTCCATAAAAAGTTCAACAGCTGTTCACCATTCTAAATTACATGGTGACAGACTCAACTAATCAAGTCCTCTCTCCCATACATGTCCTACATAGGATCTAACAAATTTTGTATACTCAATACGTGTTAAGACTTCAACCGCTTCAAAGTGTAACAAAACCTTAAACATGTTTCCTAACTCCCCAGCACCAATGAATTTGTAGTTTTATAAATATCATGGTGAACAAGAAATGCTGTCTTGTCACATTCAAGCCAAATAACAGCTGGACTTTAAAAATAAAATTTTGAAGGCATTTGCCTTTTATATTTTTAATTTCTGTTTTCCTTGCCTATGGTTTTGTCATTTGATTTTGATGAGTGGTTAATACACATGCACAGCTGCCTCTTGGTGACCTTTTCCTCGCTGCCTCCAGGCTCAGGGCTATGAAGCAGGTCTACAAGTTGCTTACTAAGTGATATTGTTGTTTTCGCCACTGACAGACGTTTTTCTGGGATGCCTGGCTAGAACAGGGCCTTGTCTTCTGGGGTGACTTACTTTAGTCATTTCAGACGCCCCCAAAGAGGATGGACTAGAAGTGGAGGGAGGTCACAGCCCCTTAAAATTGCTGATCCAAAGCCAGAAGAAACCTGCAGGTGATTACATGTGGACTGCGGGGGACATCCTGGGCTAGAGGCACAGAATTCACCTATCACCTCAGCTTCCCCAAGTAGCTCTCACTCTGAATTCTCTGTAGAGCACAAAGAAGTACTGATCTTCTAAGCACTTTTCTCCATGACAATTATGTATGTATGTATACATTTCCTTTTTAACCTTCTGCCTTTCCTCAATAGACCATAAGCTCAAAGAGATCAGGGACAACTCTGTTTTTTTCCCCCACAGTTTTGCACACTGTAGGCACTCAAGAAATGTTGGTTGCTTTTTGGAACCACAGACTGAGTGAAGGAGCAAATAAATTTTTTTAGTTATTCTGATACTTCAGTTTCTTCTTAATGTTGCTGTTAACAGAAACATGAAGGAGCAAAGTAGAGAAAGTATTATGCGTACCTGTTATCTACTTTGAATTTAATATGAACTATAACTCCAGCAGGCTTTGCGATCAGCTCACACTTGAGCAGAAGCCAGGAAATACACTGAAGTCAGCAGAAGGCTGCCACCCATCCTAGCAGTCCTCACAAAGGCATTGCTCTTCTGTAGTTATTAGAACAGGTAACTTGACTCCATTCATGAACTCATAGTCCCCTAAAAGCACATGAGGTCTCAATGGCAACTCTGGGCAAACTTCTGAAGGGAGGTTTTCACATACCCCTTAAGCTCCTGGGCCACTACAGCCCTCCTACTATTACACTCACCAGGCATTGCTACTATGTGTGACACAGTAACATGAGAGCTGGTGTATGGCATGACTTACTAAATTTAGGGGACAGGAAATGGGCCATTTTGAAGAAGGTTGCAAGGAGTTTGTTCAGAAAAACAAAGGGACCACATGTTTATCTGACATACAGGGGATGCAGTATGGCAGGCTGCTTGGGATCAAGTCTCAGCTCTCTCCTTCCTAACTCTGTGGCTCATAGCAAGTTACTTAATTACTCTCAGTCTCAATTTTATCACCTGTAAAATGGAAAAAATCAGTATCTTCTTTACAATGTGTATAAGGATTAAATAAGAAAATGGGTATAAAAAGCTTAACACGGTCTCGGGCATATAAGTGCTTGAAAAATGTTTGCTAAAAAGCCAAGTAACCAGGAAAATTGTTTTGAATCTATACAATCTGGGTATTGAATGAAATTTCTAAAGATATTTCTATATAATATGTTTCTCTACAGCTATGTTTTTAAATTTTTCCTTTTATACTAGTTAATAACTCTGACCGTGATTTTTAACTTATCAAGCAGATAATATCATTAACTAGATCATAGCATTACTGAGAGGCAACTGACTATATTTACACCCAATATGCAGTTAAGAAAATATATGAAAGCAAATGAAAAAGAGTCAATGGCAAATTAAGAAAAGTCTGTGAGAGCAAGGGTAAGGTGATTGAACTCTGTTAACTCCTAGTCTGTGGCCAAATGAATAGACTAAATATTCCAAAGTAATGAAAAACAAATTATTTCATTACATATGGTCAGAGATTTAGGTATTCTATTGTACAAGTGTCCAATAAAACCAAGATGAGCCAGACCACACAGACTTTCAGGTCAGCCACATTTCCTGTGTTGCAGTCAAATGGTTAACTGTGTAAGTTGCATCATTTGGACTCTCTGGCTCCCTAGGCAGAGGAACTCAACCCTTACCAGTGGAAAGCCTGCATTTCTGAGTGCCTATGAAAATGTGAATGTGCTCTTGGTACATGTTCTCCAAAGAGGACGGCGAGTATATTTCTGGTTTTGAATCTTCTTTATTCCTCCTTTCCTACTCTTCCCCCTTTCTCTTCCTCATCTTCCTGCCTTCCCTTCTTTTCCCTTCCCTTCCCCTCCTCCCTGCCTCTCCACCTCCCCCTGCCCCAATGCACATACCAATCAGAATTTGCTTTAACACCTTGTCCCCAGTACTATCATCAAACGTTAGTCTTTCTTAATGGCATGAAAACTCTGCCTTCTGGAAACTTTCTCAAGTACTTCCTAATGTCTGACATTACCCATCTCTTAGTGCTCATTCCAGGGGTTTCTGAACTGCCTGGGATACCCAAAGCTATCACTAGGAGCCATGCCCAGTTCAGAGGCTGCTGTGAAGTATCTTCATGTGTTTTCAAGGGATTAGGGTCCTGGAAGAAATCCTGCCAGGAAAAGGGATACTAGTAAGAGTCTTCCCCTTAAGCCCAAGAAAGACTTTAGCTGGAACGAAAGATGGGTGAGGTATCATGTTACTCTGAAGAGAACAAATTAATCTTCCCTGACTGGTAAGACATATTCTGCCAAAGGAACAGCTAACGGGAAAACCAGTCCCTACTCTGTGATGACACAGTAAATAACTAGGCAACATTACTACTGAAGTGCTGACCTAACTCATAAATTGTACCCAGACTCTGGGGAGCAATTTCTGCTGATGTGCTGCTTGTGCATTTAAAACAAACAAACAAAAAGGGACGAGACGTGAACAGACATTGATAGTGCTGTGGGTAAACACTCTGAGAGTAAGGCTGGTCTTGCCACCCAGACTTCTAAGACTTTAGTAACGGGTAGTGTGTAGACACAGGTTGGGCTTTCCCCAAGCCATTATTAAGTTATGCTAAATCTGCTGCAAACCATCATTCAGTCCCCAAAATGGTTTGATTGCACCTGGGAATTACTTGGTTTGGATATGCTAATTACTCTGATTTGATCATTCCACATGTATACATGTATCAAATCAAATCACTTTGTACCCCATAAACATATACAATTATTACTTGTCAATTAAAAATAAAATAAATTAAGAAAACATGCTCCTTTGTATGTTTTTCTTTTTTAACAAGAATGTAGTGAGGCAGATGAAACACAGAATTCTGTCATTCATTGGAATGTGGAAGATCCTTTTATTTTAAAACTTTAAGATGGAATCTTAAAGTTCTTGGATTGCTATGTGTTCAGTAATATAGGATCTAGTCGCTTCTCAAAGTCCTCTACTATTATACATATATATAGATACAGATATATATAAAATATATTTCCTGCTTTGCCTAGGAAATCTAACTGTTGATTCCTAAGAAAGACCATAAAGATCCTACATCTAAATCAGACATACCTTTGGAAACACACGGAGCAGCAGAAAAGAGCTAGGATAAAGCCACTCACCCTCCGCATCTTCTGGCCGCGTAAGATCGATGACACCTGGGCCCAGCTTTCCATCTTCACTTGACTTTCCTGTTAATTGGGACCCCAAATTCTCAAAGCGCGTTCTTTCCTAGAGGAAAGAATAATCAGAGGCTTATTGTAGCTTCCAAAGCGGTCGCTTTTCCCTTCCAGTTTCTATCTTGCTTAATGTGTGAAACTCTGATTTACAAACATCGTTTCTGACCAACTTGGGCTCTGAAAAGCTTTCAGGAAGATTCCACTAAAGCCTGTTTGTGGCACTGACAGCACTGACAGCATCTAGGCCATAGTACCTGTAAGGAAAGAAAACCTGTGACAGGGAACCTGCCAGAGCTGTTCTGCACATCTTCTCTCTGTTGGATCTGCTCCAGTAATCTAAAACGAATGCGACAGAGGGTTGAGCCAAAAACACAAAACTTGAAAGAGCGTTCCTATTAAAGTATACTGCTAAATTTAATGGGAGAGGAATTTTCCCATTTAGAGATCATAGTTTACATTGGTATTCCCGGAGAAATACAAATCAGAATTTTATGCACCAGGATTTTAAAAACAAACATTTCAAAGCAGGCTGACCAGATGATGGCATTAATGCTATTATTCTGTCTCAGAGTTTCAACTGTGACTTCCTGGGAACTAAAAAGGAGGACTAGCCATTGAGCCAGGAAAGTTAAATACCCCTGCTATTTTAGGAGGGAAACCCGAAGATATTTTGCTTGTTCACTCGTTCTTCTAGGAGCAGGAGTCTGAAGCATCACAGTGAAGGCTTCCTCTGCAGCTCGCTGGATCAGTAGCAGAGGGCTCACTGGCCATCATTAATATGGTGTTCTTGTCTACAGAAACATAGTGCATGTCCCCCTCTTGCCTCCTTGTTACTCTCCAGACTCAAACTTGGCTTTGTGTTGTGCTTATGAATGAATGAAACCTTGTTGTTCATTACTATGAAACAATATTAAATGTCATGTCAGCTTGAATTTACAGACATGAAATAGCAGCTTCCAGCTCCGGGAATGGTTTCTGCATGTTATACTTAATGCATTATGCAGCAGTAGAGTGCTGATTGCTGTTCAGTCTATTGTTCAATGACCTAGTTCTGTACTGAGCATGTTCGGCATTAGATGGAAACAGTCTGAGTGTTCTCTTCTGTAAGATGTTTAGAAACTTGGAAATATTCTTAAAGAGCAAACATACAATTACTTGATAGAGGCTGTGCCTCATTTGTACAGTCTCACTACATTTATGCTTTCTAATATGATTATTTTTGAATATCATTATATTTCTATAATTAATTCCCATCAGTCAAATTGTGCAGGAAGTCTTCCAGTTCCCCCTTCATCACGGAATATGTTGAAATCTATGTTGCAAGAAAACACAGCAGAAACCTAGCTTTAATCTACAACATTCGTATGAAAGATTTCAAATAAAAATTATAATCATGAATTTCCCTTACAGGGTAATACTAAACTAGTTTCAATAGCAGAATGTGGGGAAACCTCTGAAGTATGACACTTATAAAAAACAGAATGAAAATAAAAACCAAATTAAGTATGGTTCCCTAATATCTTCTTATATGAAAACACTGCTTCACAAGAGCAAATTAACCCAGATGCAGGACACAACAAAAAGCAACCACAAGCCGTGTGGGAGTTTCACACATTGTCGGGGAAAGGACAGCTGCTTTTAATCAGCCAATTTCTATTTTTGAGTAGCACTTTTGGTTGTCATGATGTAAAGAAAAAAAATTAAAGTGAAGATGAGTAGTACCCGGGAAAGCAAAATATTCAACCTTTGTTTTATCACATTGTTTCGCATTTCAAATATTTGCATGTGAATGCTTTCCCTGTGTTAAATGCAAAAGGAGTTTGATGTGACACCTGCAATCTTCTTGGAAGAACAACCTTTAACTGTATTTTCATAGGGGGAAAAACAACTTTCTCTGAAAATCAACAGACCGTGCTACCTATCAATATGCATATTTCAAGTATCTTTCTAGTCATTCATTCTCTTTGATTTTACTGGAAAATATTCTCAGTAAAAAAAAAAAATAAAGTTCCTGAAAGAATATCAATATTTTGACAAGGAAGGAGAAGAGGGAAAATTATATGCCATGGTTTGTAAAATCCTAAGACAACAAAGCTTACATGATGATAATATCTTTTCTTTTATAAAAAATGAAGTGCACTCACAATTCGGTAGTATCAGCTTGTTTTTAATAATAACAAAAAACATTCAGAACATTCAACAACACATTCACAGTATCTTTGAAGTCATACGTTTTTCTGACTTCATTGGAAAAAAAAAACTCCTCTGCAGAGATACTTTTCCTATAAAATATCAATATTTTGACAGAGTAGAAGTCAAGGAAGAATATCCCATGAAACACTTGTCAAATAGGAAGAAAATAAATCAATGATAGAAATTGTTTTGGGCAGTGAGTTGCATTTCAAATTTGGTAATATTTAGCACTTGTGTTTGAGATTAAAGAAGGACCCTGCAAAGCCATGCCCTTTCATATAAATTTCCACCTAGTCTCCCAGAAGATTTCCTTTTTTTCTTCAAAGAATAGCTCAGAATATTTATTTGCCAGCCACATAACCATAAGATAAGAGGGTCTGATGTCTACAAGTTACGTCTGGGCAGCTGAGCTAAGCAAAGATTTTACCAGTGAGGTTGAACACGAGCCTAGTAAATACAGGATGTGGACGTGGGCACAGAGAGAAGTACAAAGATATTTTAGTTCCAAGAAGCTTAAACTTCTAGCCATTAAGTGCCGATGAGTATGCCCCTACATGGAACAAATAGAGACTGCAGGGGGGTGGCAATTTCTCTCTGCTTCTTTTTCTTTATTTTTTTAAATATATATATATATGCACACACATATGTATATATATTTTTTTTTCTTCCACAACAGTCATCTCAGAAGTGGCAGGTCTTAAGTCCAAATTTCCCCACACACTTAAACTAGCTCTCACAATATACGTAGCTCCCGAGTAAGATATGTTGGAGATATAAGCAAAATACCTCAATGCTAATTTAATCCCAACCCCCCCAGGAAAATTCTCCAATCTTCATGTTGACAGTGAAATGTGCATTTTACATGCAGCAATGTGATCAGACACTTACTTATGCATTGTCAGTCACAAACATGCAGGCAACATAAAAGTTATTGAAAAAAATTAAAGTCAGCTCTGCTGTGTTGTAGGACTGTTGGCTCTCTAAGTGCTTTGAAATTATGATGTATGAGGTAGATGTTGCATATTAAATAAAGATATTTAAATGATAAAGCCCCCTTTAGTGAGAGCTGATGAATGTTAAATGTTACAAGCCACAAGACGGTAGCATCCATCATCTTCACATATTATCAGAGTCAATGACAGGGCAGCCTCACTGATGACAGATAGACTGCTGCATTATTATCCCTTATTTCCAGAGTCACTGAACAAACCATTCAACTCCTCAGACATTATTTTTAACTTTGCATTAAATTAGCAACTTTTCCCTCCCTACCATGGCAAGATTGATCAATTTTGTCTTTGCATGGGTGGAGAGAGAAAGAATGGATGTGGGGTAACTAAAAGAACAGAGGTTTGTTTTCATCTAGGAAAAAAAATCAACTCCCTCTTACTGGCAACAAATGTAAAATTGTGATCTGGGGAAAGAACAGCAATGAAACAGTAAGCACACAATAATGGCTTTTCTTTGCACTTAGATAAAAGCTGAATTTTTGATGTGCACAGTATATTTTAATAAAATTTTATATACTATGTTTTATACACTTATTGGCTATTCCATAATAATGTGTGTGCTAACAGTAAAATTGCTCTTAAATTTATGTGTGTTATTTATACGTTCCCACGTAACAATGCTTTTTGTTGTAAAAAATATTCTGTTTATTAATGTAACTTTACAACCGCTGCATCCAAGATCCGTGGTAAATTAATGACATTTTTATTATTTTATAGTGTCATTAAATTTTTACTGATCACTCCATCAAACAGAGGCAGTAAAGGCCATAATGTAAACTGGGACACTTAGATCAGGCAGCAGGAAGACATTCCATATAGTCTGAAGAAAACTGCTAGCAATAAATGATATTTATACCATCTTTAAGCATGTGAGAATACTTGGATAAGTTTGGCAAAACTGTTTCAGTAGTAGAGTGGATTGTGTACTTAAATAACAGTTTGCTTGCCAGCGAGACAAGCCTTTTTCAAACCATATGCGAGATGACTGATTGCAGCCATCTTCTGAAAACCAACACGTGAAATGTAGTGATGCGCTGGGCACCCTCCCTTCTGGGTTACCAAGACTGACCAGGCTATGCGATGCCTCAAATTATTTCGACATGGTCCCCTTTTCTACAAACTGAAACGGAAAATGCTACAGGCTGAGAGAGGCTTTTTGTTTGCTGCTTTTCAAACAAATACATTTCATTTAAGTATATGAATACATCTGGACAATGAGGTGATATATTTTATTCCAGCGGTCTAAATGAGAGATACTTTACCAGCCTTTATTCAAAAGCTCGTTTCTAAAGGATGTCTGCATATGGGGTCATTCATAGCAGCCATGGAACATACAACTAAGGGGTCATTACCTATACTGTTGTTAAAATGGGTAAAAAATCATTATCTCACGTTATTTTCATATGTAAAATACATTATAATTAGGATACTCTCTACACTGGCTCTCTTAGATTAACCTAAATGTGTGTTATTAACTAATTGCCAAATATTCTATTTATATATACAGAAGATAGTAAATAGAAAATTCTATGTTCATATAATCATGGATTTAGAAGTGCCTAACTCCTGCATGGCGATTCCGGTATGATTCTTTTTTAAGTAAATAAGAATTTTGCTGTTACATCCTAAAATACATATTTAAACATTAAAGACTTTTTAAAATCTTTCATATTTGTAACGATAAGGAATTTTGCCAGGAAGGCTAATGCTGCAGCCCTACCAGTCATATATTTTGTGTATTCCTAAAGCAGAGTCTTCCAAAAGAAATAACAAATATATATGTTATGAATAGAAATTCTCTAAGGCCATCGCAGTATTCTGAGATACAATCTATCCTCAAAGTTTCAGC